GTTCCAAATAGAAACAAGAGCTAAAAACAAAATAAAGGCCTAAGCGTTAGAAACGAAGTGATTCACCGCTCAATGACAATGATAGAAAACATTAATTAAGCCTTCACCATAGATCAATATCAACGTTAACTTTATATTAGCGGTTGAGGAAATTTAAAAAATATATTGGTGTATAGTGTTTGCAAGTATCTTAGATGGGTCTATCACCTTAGTGGGCCGTAAACTTAGACCTTTATCAGGCCTCGCCCACAAAAGAGATTGAGTAGTTTGCAAAATTACTTAATTCCCGACTCTTCACTCTCAAATTAGCCGAAAGAAAAGAAAAACCAATGAAATTACTTGCAAAGGTTAGCTATAATTTTACTACATATTCATATTTGTATTCAAATCCATTGACTTAAAAATGAAGGTGCATATTGTATTATTACCCATCAAGTTCTCAATTTCTATCTTTAAAGATGTAGCCAATCATTTTATAAACAATATTTTCACACCATACGACGTCGATTATGCGTCTACGACCTTTTGGAAACTATACCTCATCTTCACATGCATCATTGCATGGTATATTGTGAGTTTGGTTCCTATTCGAGCGCTTCTGCACAGTGCGGAGCATTTTCGACAGTTCAATTGCTATCTTTAAAGATGTAGTCGAAATGATATTGATGGTTAAGAATTTGGCAAAGGTCCAATTCAAGAAAGGTGTAAACAGATAGGTTATTTAATAAGATCTAAATCTGATACAAGAACAGAAAACCTTCTAATGAAGTATTAAATCTAGGCTTAATTATTTTCTTAGCCGATATGGGAAAAAATCTTGATAATCTCATGGTTTATTTTCAAGATGCTCATAAATTCATCATATATACTGTTGATAATAGTGTTAATAATAGTGTTAGTAGTGGGTTTTTAATCCCACATTGGTTGTGAGAACACACCTCGCCCTCTTCTACTTGTATAAATATATGTGCACACTCAATATTCAACTCAAGGAAAATTTACCCAAGACTCTCTCTCTCTCTCTCTCTCTCTCTCTCTCTCTCTCTCTCTCTCTCTCTCTTACTTTAACATGATATCAGAGCTAGAGTTATTATTTTCCTTCCAATAAAAATTTTTAACGCTTCTGCGTTTTTTTGCCAAAATCTTGGCCTTGCTACTTTGTACTCATTTAACGCTTTTTTTGCATTCCTCTGCTAGTTTTTTGGCCTTGCAACTTTGCGGCCTCTTAACGCATTTCGCGTTTTCGTTTAACCTTCGGGTTCCATTTTAATCTTTGAGGTTATATTTTAAATCTTTGGGTTCTATTTGAACGGCACTATCATTTCAAGACCATCTCTTGCTCTCAAATTAACGACATCGCCGTTTCAAGTCATCTCTCGGCCTCAAACAAACGACACTGCCGTTTCACAGTCAGTAACGGCATTCGTCGTTTCAATCCATCTCAACGTCTAAACATCTCAACATCGACATTAATCTGTTGTACGTCTCCGGCGTGAGCATCAGATATGGTCGATCTTTGGGTCACCTTGGTCGCCGGTTGCTTCTTTTTTCTCAGATTTGACAGTCATGTATAACCTTCGGGTTCAAATTTAACCTTCGGGTTCTTACATTTTAACCTTCGGATTTCTATATTAACCTTCGGGTTCTCCTTTAAACATTCGGGTTTTATTCAAGGATTATTATCTTGAACTTTGACTTGCTCTTATTATGGCCTCTTCACTAGCACCTGCTTCTCAGGCTCGGTCTAAGCTCTTTTGCACCTATTGCAAGAAGGAGGGACACTGCTTTGAGACATGTTTCCAGCTTCATCTTGATTTACGTTCCTCAGGAACTAGCCATAGTCAGCGATCCCCTTAGTCATGATCCTCTAGTGCACCAGGATTATCGGTTAATGTTACGCCATTTGCCACTTCAGACCCTACCATTCAAGCTATTGTAGATATTAGCCATCAAATTGCGGCTCTTCAGCATACCACCTCTCCATCTGCTGTAAAACTCTCTGATATTCGTCGTCAAATTGAGGCTCTTCAAGCTATTGTAAATATTAGCCGTCAAATTACATCTCTTCAGCATACCACCTCTCCATCTGCTGCATAACTCTCTGATATTCGCCATCAAATTGATGCTCTTCAGCATAGAGCCTCTACATCTACTGCACAACTCTTCGGTATGCGTCTTGTTGGTTCTTCAGCCAACCCTTCGGTCTCTGGTATGAATGATCTCTGGATTTTTGACTCTGATTGTTCCTTTCATATGACACGTAATGTCTCCCTCTTATCTTCTGTTTTTACTTCCTCTTCTCTCCCCCCTATCTACACGACTGTTGGACAACCTTTGTCTATCACTCAATATAGCTCTATCACCCCACAAACTGACCCAACTGGTCGTCTAACTCTTGGCCCCGTCTATGTGGCTCCTCAATTGTGTTTGAATTTAATTTCTGTTAGCTTCTTATGTACGGATGGCCTACTTATCTCATTTTCTTCTGATACTTGTATTGTGCAGGATCCACATACGGGCAAGACTATTAGGGCCGGTTGGAGGAGACACAAACTGTATTTTTTGGAATATCTTCACCTTCCAGAGTCCATACGTCCACGTTCTCTTGTTGCTTCTGTAAGTCCAAAATCCACTATCTTGCTTTTCGTTGATTTGTGGCATAGACGACTTGGTCATGTGTCTCATAAAAGGCTGTAAAGTCTTATCCGGTCCAGAATACTTGGTTCTGTATCCTCTCATTCTCGTATTGAGTCATGTATTGGTTGTAAATTGGCTAAATTCGCTGCTTTACTATTTTCAACCAATACATCTGTTTTTACTTCCTTGTTTGATTTGGTCCATTCTGATATATGGGGGCCAACTCCTCTGCCTTCTTCATCTAGCTACTTATATTATGTTAGTTTTATCAATCATTTTTCTCGTTATACATGGGTCTATCTACTTAAAAATCACTCTGACGTACTTGCTTCTTATCAAGCCTTCACTGTGATGATCTTCACTCAATGGCAAGCTCATATTAAAGTTTTTTGTTTTAACTGTGCCAAAGAGTATCTATCATCTACCATACTCTCTATCATGTCCTCTCATGGGACTATCTTTCAACAATCATGTCCCTACACTCATGAGCAAAATGGTATTGCTGAACGCAAACATCGTCATATTCTTGATACCGCTCAATCCATGCTCATTTCTTACTCTGTTCCTCGTTGTTTCTGGGCTGAGGCCATTCTCACTGCTACTCATGTTATTAATATCACTCCATCTAGCTCTCTTTCTGGTGCTACTCCTCATAGTCGTATTTATACTCATCCTCCCCGTTATGATCTGGTCCACATTTTTTATTATCGTTGTTTCGTTCTTCTGCCATCTCACGAACATGATAAATTATCTCCCAGAGTTGTTATCTATGTCTATTTAGGAATTAGTTCAGAACATCGAGGTTATCGTTGTTATGATCCTGCATCTCATCGAGTTTATATATCTCGACACGTTTAGTTCGAAGAGGATTCTCCATTTTGTTCTGCTTCCGATGATTTTAATTTCCCCCACACTACTGATCATGCTTCTCCGCCAGCTGTATCACCGACTTCCTTACCTTAATTCTCCTTTCGAGATCTTCCTAAAATCTCTCCATCTCCTTCTGTTGAATCTCCCTCACTCGAGCTTTCTCTTCCACCATCTGATCACTATCATGTAGACACGACACCCACTCCAGAAAAATATTGTTGACCTCCATGCACCTGCGTTAGCATCTTCCCCGTCTGAGGTTCCTCTTGCTCTTCGATGAAGCAAATGCCCACATGTCATGCCTGCACAGTATGCTCCGGTTACTTCCTATTCAACTATCTTTCTTAATTTTCTTGTTGTCATTCATACTACAGTTGAGCCAAAGTCCTTTCAAGAGGCCGTTCAATTTCTAGAGTGGCGACAGGCTATGGCTGAGGAATTTTAGATCTTTTAGCAAGCACATACCTTGAATGTTGTTCCTTGTCCCCCTGGCATCTCTTTAGTTGGTAGTCAATGAGTTTATAAGGTCAAGTATCATCCTGATGGCACCATTAAACGTCGGAAAGCTCGTTTAGTAGCTCGAGGTTTTACTCAGCAACAATGTATTGATTATGAGGAGATATTTGCTCCTGTTACTCAGATGCCCACCGTTCGTACTCTTTGTGTTGTCGCTGCTGCTCATCATTGGCCCTTATACCAGATGGATGTTAAGAATTATTTTCTCCATGGCTCTTTATCTGAGACAGTATATATATATGCAACCGTCTTCAGGTCCAATATTCCTCCGGGGCATGCATGTCTCCTTCGCTATGTTATGTATAGTCTCAAGCAGGCACCCCATGCTTGTTTTGAGTGTTTTCATGATGTCGTGCTCAAGCCGGGCTTTATGGAAAGTTATCAAGATGCTTCTTTGTTTGTTCGCATTACATCATGTGGCAGAGTTTTATTACTCATCTATGTAGATGATATGATCATTACAGGTGATGATGTGGCTGGTATATAGTACGCAAAATCTCAGTTGCAACAACAGTTCCACATGAAGGATCTTGGATCCCTTCGATATTTTTTTGGTCTAGTGATAATCACATTTTATTACAGTTTTATACCCTTATTATCTATTTTATATGAATAAATATATCACTAATAACTGTTTTTATGTTTAATTGCAGGTTAATGAAGAATAAATCTCAAATTCCCATCTCTCAACAAAAAGCCCATGATTAAATGAAGAAATGAAGCCAATTGGAAAATCAATATCCAAATTATCCAAAAGCCCAAGCTAAGAAAAAGAAGAAAAGCCCAAGAAATGCCAAAGCCCAAAATAAATACATGAAGAAATCAAGAAGCCCAAAAGCCCAAGCAAAAGCCCAAAATCCAAGTCCAAAAGCCAATAGAAGAGGAACTCTGCGGACAGCAAAAGGAGAAGGGCAGGCTCCCCGCATCGATGCCTGTATCGATGCCAGCATCGATGCCTGTATCGATGCCGGTATCGATACCCCTGTCGATGCTGGTATCGATACGCTAGGCAGTTTGTTACGAATCAAAGGATAAAAATTGATGTTTTTGGATAAGATTTCGATTCAATGGCTCTCATTCACTAATGTTTACTATAAATAGGATTACTATAAATAGGGGTAGAGAATGAGGGGTTAGAGGGTAAAAATTTTGTAAACTCCTTTTGGAGAGGAGTGCTACTCTTAATTGAGAAGGCCTTCCAAAAATTGTAACTTTAGTTGTAATTAATAATAATAATTTTTTCCTCTTTAAATTTGTTCTTTCTCCTCTTTGTGGAATGATGAGGATGGAGATGAAGAGCAATTTGAAGGTTTGCATTTCTTTTCTCTTTCTTGTAATTTTAGTAATTTCTTTATTATTGCTTATTAGTTAGATTTAAATTCATGCTTGTAGTATAGATTTACTTTCTTGTCTTTTTATTTTCTTTTTGCACTTTAATTTGTAGAGTAGATTTATTTTTCTTGCATTTAATTTCTGCAATTTATTTTGTAGTTTAGATTTTTATTTTCTTTGTAATTAGATTTATTTCTTGTTCATAGTTTAGATTTTTCTTTTCTTTTTATTTTTGTAATTAGTTCTTTTTCTTGTTTTTATTTCTTAAAGATGTGAATTTAATTCTTGTAGGAAGTTTAGAATTATATGAAACTAGTCTAATTTCCTTTATATTGTATGAATTATTCTCTTGTACTTAAAATGTTCATGTTTAGGATAATCAACTAGAGAACTAATCGGTAGAAGAAGAATTTGATAATCTATGCTTATCTTAAATGGTTTGATAGGTTATGCTTATGAATTCTAGGATTATTATCATGTTGTTGTTCTTATCATGAATAGTAATTTTAACTTAGATGATAATTTGATAGGTTACACTTTCCTTAAATGGTTTGATAATCTATGCTTAATAAATCTAAGTTGAAATATGATAAAAAGAGAATAGTTTATATTTTGTAATTGAAATTGGTTAGTGGATTATATTCTAGATTTCTTACCTCTTTTGAATCCTTCATCTTAACTTTCTTAAATTTTCTTTTCATTTTTGGTTTTATTTCTTGATTTTATTAATTCATATTTCTTGCCTTGTGATTTCATTTATTCTTTAATTCTTCCTTCTCTCCTCTAAAATTCAATTTATTATCTTTTGCAAATATTCACAACAATCACTCATCACATTCACACTTATTCTTTATTCCTAATTGTCACGCACAAAATATAAGAACCAAGTTTAATAATCTCTTAAAATCACCTTCTTCGTGGGATCGATATCTTTTTATACTATAACTTGATAAATTGTGCACTTGCAATTTTGGTACATAATTATGCCGCATCAAGTTTTTGGCGCCGTTGCCGGGGAAGGTGCTAAAATAGGATTTTATTAACTTGATTCTTTAACTTGTGTATTTTTCTTGTGAAGGAACCGCTTGGAGCTTGAAAATCTTGGATTGAAGATCAAGAATTTGGAGCATTGCTTTCGGGTAAGTCTTCTTTCTAGTTTTCAATTCCACCCTCTTTAGCTAGCTTCACAATTAGAGACAATTATTTAAAAAAAAAAAGATTTTATTTTTGTTGACCATAATAAAATCCATCTTTCACTTAGATATTAACTAACAAGATAATAAACTCAAATAATTTTCCCCTTCTCACTTTTGATTGTTGTTGACCATAATTAAAAAAAAAAGATTTTCTTTTTATCATCCTTTTTAGTCGCTTTTAATTTCTAGGGTTGCATTTCATATAGTGTAGGAATTCACCAAAGTGATTGTAGCACTTGATTTGGCACACACTTAAATCATTCTTAAGGGCAAAACCCCAATCAAGATAAGGTAAGGGATTTCATCACCCTTTCCTTAGCCCACAAATCACTAATTCCTCACTTCACAAATCCAAGCCTTCTAAAACTCATTAGACGTTGGCCATTAAGGATTCGAGCTCAATAAGGAACAAGAAATCATTAAGTGAACGGTTAAAGTTTTCTCAGAATAGTTGGTGTCTAAGGAAAGGTTTAGGGGCTGCGTAAAGCGCTCCGCAAGGAAAGAGGTACTTAATTGATCTTTGATCACCCTCTAGTACTATCCTTACCTGGCTAACTACCTGGGTAAAACTTTGATCTTTTCACTGTAGGAATTTTTGGTTAGGAGCTGGTCTAGTGGAGTTAGGTTAAACCCTAGAGTTAGAGTTGATTGAAAAGTGATTGCCTTGATTTGTTTTAGTTAGGATTTTTCTTTTTCTTTATCTTCTCATATAAAAAAAAACTAATTTTTTTCCTTCCTTTAAAAAGAAAAAAAAAATTAATTTTCTTAAAAAAAAAAACTAATTTTCTTTCTTTCCTTAAAAAGAAAAAAAAAAAAAATTTTGGTGTATGCAATTTTGGGTTCGGGATAATTTTCATCGCTTAATCCGTGTTG